ATGTCTGGGAGGCATAGAAAATTTCTTCAAATCGATACAAAGGCCTCAAAATGCCAACAACAAATCAACAGACACAGCAGTTCAAAGAGTGAGAATAAAATGCACATTAAAAATGCTCAAAAACATCCAAAATGAAGGAAATGCAGGCAAATAAGACATGCTCCCCTTGTATTGCCAGAAGCTAGCATTTTGAAAATGTCGAGCATTAATAAGGGTGTGAAGAGAAGGGCACAGCTACACGCTACAGGGAGTCTGGACTAGTCAACTGCTTTCAAAGATGATTTGGCAAGGTTATTAAAATGGAAAGTGCATGTACCTGGCAATTTTAATTCTGGGTAGAAACACTCCTTCCTATGCCCACAAAGCATGTATAAAAATAAAAGTGTTGATCACCCTGTCTTAAATAAAACCGGAACCCAAAAATGTCTATCAGTTAGGCAGTATAGCTAAGGGAACTCTTGGACCATTATATGGAATATTATACAGCAGTCAAAAGAGATGAGGTATTCCATACATGATGTTACGTAATATGGAAAAAGCTGGACTGGGGAAATGACTCAGCTGGTAATGAGGATCTGGGTTAGATTTCCAGAATCCATCTAAAAATGCTGAGTCTGGCGGCACATTCCTGTGTCTCAGTACTGGGATGGCAGAGATGAGTGGATCCCTGGGGTTACTGCCCAGAGAGTCTAGTCCAATCAGTGAGCCCCAAGTGTCAACGAGAGACCCTGTTTTAAAAACCAAGGTTGATAGCTTCTGAGAAACAACATCTAAGGTGGGCCTCTGCCTTTCTCTCTCTCTCACACACACGCACAACACACACATACACACACACACACACATATACACACACACACACACACACACACACACACACACACACACACACACGTGTGTGCATACCCCCAGACAGAAACACGGAAAGGAAAAAATATGCAGGGAAAAATGACGACGAAATGAAATGATTCACATCTTAAACATACACAGCGGTATCATTTACACCTATAATAATAGATGTGTCAGTGAATGTACAGAAAATGACATCAGGTCTGGAGACGGGATGGGAAGGCACATTGTAGTTGCCGACTTAACATTATCCAGAATCATCTAAGGAGACAAGCCTCTGGGTCCCACAGCCATACACAGGACAAAGCCAGGTGAGCACCAGTGTTGGCTTGGCTCTGCTTCCTGAATTTGGATATAATGCGACCAGCTGCCTCATTTTTCTGTGGTCATACCTTCCCTGCCCTGACAGACGAGCAGCTGCTTTACACTGTGAGCCACAGTAAACCCGCCTTAGTTATGGTTTTATGGTTGTGATGAGATGCCAAGACCAAGACAACTTTCTAAACGAGTTTATTTGGGGCTCACTGTTTCAGAGGGTGAGTCCATGGCCATCTTGATGTGGAGCATGGCAGCAGGAGGGATGCGGAAAGAGCAGCTAACAGCTCACACCCTGAGATACAACCTCAGGACAGAGGCCTAACTGGAAACTGCTGGGCTTTTGAAGCATCCAGGACCCCATCCCAAAGGGGCACACCTCCTCAAACAAGGACACACATCCTCATCCTTCCCACACAGGTCCACCAGCTGGGAACCAAGAGTCCAAACCACCACAAAACCTTCCCTCTTTAAGTTGCTTTGTCGGGTATTTTCTTGCATCGAGAAGAGTAACTAATACAGAGGGACCACCCCCAAAGGGTCTGTGTCATGGGGATCTCTATGATTTATCATTTCTGTACCAGAAGAAAAGTAATTTTCCGAATTCAATATTAAATTTCTTTTGTACGAAATAAGAAATCTGAAGACAAAAGCAACGTATAAATATCCCATTCTGCTCTCTATTAAGAGACCTTGTCATTTTGAGGCAAAGGCAGCTTTGTCCCCAGTGGAAGAGCTCCTCAGGGGTCTACCCTGTGCTGGGAGGTCTATCCTGTGCTGCCGGAGAGTAATGTTTGAGACATAAACGTCAGAGGTTCCCCTGGAAGCAACCACAGCAGAGTGCTGGCCTCTTTCCGACTACCAGCTGCTCTTCAGAGCATCTCATCCATTCTCACTAAAGAAACAAGTGGCTAGTGTGAGAGGCTGAGGCGGAAGATGGACCTGAGGTTACAGTGAGTTCGAGGCTACCCCGGGCGATGGTGTGATATCCCATCTCAAACCAAGCTAAGCACAATGAGTAAGACAGAGAGCAAGAGAGGGAGAGGAGGAAAGGAAAGGGAGGGGGAGGGCAAGGGAGAGGGAGAGAGGAAGAAGGAGGGAGAGGGAGCAAGAGAGAATCACAGCAAACATGTCTGATGACTCACTATGTATGAGACCTATGTGTTACGGCGCAGCACCCCGGATTTCCCCTAATACAATAACCCCAAGAGAACAGCATCTTTGGTGACCATTCAACAGATCAAGAAGCTGAGCTTCAGCTAGATTTGGGATCTCAGTCACGTGCCCACAATGCAATGGATGCCACTGATCTCAAGCCCTTTAACAGACCCTCTCAAACTGCCTGCCACCCCAACCACGTTAGTTGTGGGGGCTGGCTTTGCTTCAACGTGTACATGCACATCAGTGTTCAGTTTTTTCCCATGTGAGCTGAGGGGTAAAGGGCTACCCCTGCTGCTGCGTGGCCCTGGCAGGTGACAGTGGTTAGGAACGGGGTAGGAGCCACCAAGTCTGAGCCACAGGGAGTACGGAAGTCTTCTGCGTGTCACAGTGGTCAGGGGCCCAAGAGACTGGAGCCCACTGGTTCTGCCAGGAGCAGGGGGATTGTAAGGCCGATGGCACAGTCCCACGGAGGCCGTCCTGCCCCGTCAGAAAGCAGATGTCCTGGTTTCCCACAGGTCTACTTATCAACAGATTTCTGTGTTCATCATGCCCAGATCATGGCTGGGGGTCATGTCAGTCAGCAGAGGCGGAAATTCCTTTCTTCCTCCACCTGCTGTTCCTGGGTCGGGGTCTGGGGTTGTCTTTCATGCTAACCCTATTTCTAATCCATCACTGGGCAGTAGGGCAGCAAGCAGCAGGGTCCAACCAGCAGGGTGGGTGGCACACTTGCCTTCCAGATGCTGAGAACGTTTGGAAAACTAATAGTGTAGCAAAGTGCCCCCAAATTACAATGCTCAGGGAAATTTAGCCAGGAGAGTGGCAGATGGGATAGATGGGGTCATTCAGATCAGAGTACATCAAACACCTTGGGGGAGACTTTGTTTGAATGGAACATGTTGTTTTTCTCCTAGCTACCTCCAGCTAACTCCCCACAGTGGTCCTGTTAGGACACAGGAGGTTCCCCAGCTCAGCCACATCCAGCACCCACACATGCTTATGCCCAGCCGGAGCCCCTGCTCTGCTTTCCTTGGCAAGACTAGACCTCAGCTCACTATACACCCTTCCCAATTTCCAGCATGCAAGGCAGATTGCATTTTCCTGGTGACACATTTTCTGATCACTCTTAGTTCATTTCCGCTTCCTCCAAGAAACTGGCCCAGCCGTGGATACCTTCCCACTGGCATCACTGTGCTTGCAAAGCTAAGCACGATCCTTCCCCAGCTGCGGCTCCGCGAAGGCCAGGACGGATCTCCGAGACTGTGGACAAGCTGCCCCTGAGAAACAGTGTTGCTGGATGAAAAGAAATGACAACGGCTGGCTCGTCTAAGATGTTTCCCAATCCACAAGTACTTCAAGTGGGAAGTCTCTACCTAGTGGCACCTTACTGCGGTACCAGTCCATCCAGAATCCGAGACTGATCCACGTCTGGTATACGCAGACTCACTTGCACACACATCACAGCTGAAAACGAGTCTGTAGCGGCTCCTTCCTCGCCCCATCCTAATGCTGGTTTTGAGGTAAATGGTGCTGAGTGCCAGGACGTTCCAGCCTCACCAGAATACAGCTCACAATCATGCAACGCTTCGGTGTGGGGCAGAAGAGCTCCCGGGCACAGCAGTGGTACAAACGGAAGGATGGTGGGCAAACGGAAAAGTTATTGATTGTTGGGTAAGGGTGTTCTTACAGTTTAGGGAGTTCCTGGTAAGCAAACAATTTTAAAAGGCTAACAGAAGGTGTTCTAAGGTCTCAGTTCCCCGCCTCTAGGGTCAGAATGGACATCTCAGAGCACCACGCGTCCACACTCTTGGCAGTCAGGTTTCCCAGGGATGCCCAAGTCCTCTGACCGCCTGGCACGCTCTGTAGGAAGCGCTGGGTCTGAGGGAGGGGCTTAGCATCACCTTCCTAAAGCAGAGGGGGCTCGCCCGGGCTCTGGTGAACGCAGAGCAAAGTCTCTGCGGTGGCTCTGCCAGCGAGAACACGCATCGCACAGTCGCTCCAGGCTCACCAGAGCCAAAATGAGTTTTGAATTTTGCCTGCCCCGCAGTCCGGGACGGGATGACCACTACCCTCGCCCCCACTCACCTGCTTCTCCGGAGTTATGTCAATTTCCCCTTTGCTTCTGGCTCCCGAAGGCATCTGCGCAGCGACCGGGTTCCAAGGCTTCCACAGGGTGAGGCGGATGGTAGCTGGGGTGTGCACTCGCCAGAATCCCCGCTCTGCCCTTGGGGGCGGTGGGAATGGTGGGGTGCAACACAGCCAATTCTGTCCCACTAAGCCCCTGGGATCCCTCGGGGACCTTGCACGGAGGGTGGCTGGGGCTCTGGAGGAAGGGACGTGCAGCGAGCAAAACTTTGAGTCCTCCAGCGGCGACTGAGGGAAAGACCCTTTGCTTCTGCCCGCGGTCGCGCCAGTCGCGGGGTTGCTGCCTGGACAGAGGCGCAGCATCCTGGCGCGAAGCAACCCTGCCCGGCTGAAGCCGTTGCTCTCAGCCTCTGCACCGCTCCGCGCTCGCTCTGCCGGCTGGACTCCGCGCTCGCCCCGACCCCGCGCACTCTGCTCCTCTCTGGCGCCCCCGGCGGCCGCGCGCAGCACAGCAGGGCCGGGCAGGGCCGAGCGAGCCCCGCCTCCCGCCTCCTCCGCCGCCCTCCTCCCCCTCGCAGAACACTCAATGTCGGAACGTTCCGAAGATGACGTCGGAGCGTTCTCGAATCCCGTGTCTCTCGGCTGCTGCTGCCGAAGGAACAGGGAAAAAGCAACAAGAAGGAACAGCAATGGCGACACTGCACCGCAAAGTGCCCAGTCCGGAGGCGTTTCTGGGCAAACCCTGGTCCTCCTGGATCGACGCCGCCAAATTACACTGCTCCGACAGTAAGAACCCCACCGCCTGTTCCTCCTTTTATTATCCTGTAACCTTTCCATTCACCTAGAGCCACTGGGAAAAAGTGTGTGTTTGAGAGAGAGTGGCCCCCGGCGTCCTCCATGCTTCTCCCTCTCTCTCTAAATAAATACACACAGACACAGACCATCAGAGCACAGAGAGGCCCGGGTGCCAGCAAGGCTGTCTGTCTGTCTGAGCCTGGCTCTCCGGGGCAGGCAGCCCGCGGGGTGGGCTTTCGCAGCCCCACGGTGGTGTCTGTTTAAAAGACGACTCTGTTGCTGCTTGCATAGTTTTTTTTTTTTGGTACCTATCTGGGCCAGGTAGATGGAAACCTGGACTCGGGAGAAAATGTTGCATTGTCAATTTTTGCAAGATTTTCCGATACAGTATTTATATCGATCTGTTTGCCAATAAACACTCTCCCTCCCCCCTTGACTTTGGCGTCCCCCCCCTTTTTTCCTCATTTTCTTTTTTCCTTTTCTTTTTCATCTGCAGATGTAGATTTAGAAGAGGCTGGAAAAGAGGGTGGCAAAAGCAGGGAGGTTATGAGGCTTAATAAAGAAGGTAAGTGCAGCTTTTGGCATGTTAGTGTTAGCTTGTGTGGCAGAGTCTTCACAGGCTTTGGAATATAATGTGAATTGTTCTACTGGGTACAGAGTGACTAAGGCTTGTCAAAAATTGAGCACGCCCAGGTGACTACTGCTTCACTGTTAACTTCCTTCGAAGTATAAATACAACTGGGGGGGGGGTGCAGGCAGGGGGAGGCTGTTCAAGGCAGAAGTTTAGTGGACTCCAGCGCTGAACCTCCTGATGGTAGCTGCCCATTTTCCTTGGAAAACCATTGGCCAATGGTGGTGGCGGGGTTTGAAATTCCTGCGTGAGTGAGGCATTGGGGGCTCCCTTCGCAAGCATTCTAGCCTCCCTCGTGTGTAAATTCACAAGTTTTAATGAGCCCCGCATGGTCGGTCATTCCAGCATCTACTTTTCCACTCTCACAAAAAACCATTGCACGTGGCATGCCTTGGTGCTGCGAGTGACATTTTGTATCCCGTCACAGGCTGTAGGCAGTGACAGGGTTAGGGGGCATCAGTACCTGCAGATCCCTAGCCTGCACCTTCTCCCCAATCTGTGCTTCCCAGCATGAAAATATGACACCTGAAAGGGGACACGTTGAATAGACAGATGATCCCCGATCTGGGCATGTGCGTGAAGCCATAATGTCAAACTTGGGTATCACCGTACCTGTGGTCGCTGTAGGTCCGTCATCCTTGTTGATTGCAAGCCCGCCATTTGTCACTCTGGCCTCTGGCTTCAGATGAAGCCACCCCAGAGGCCGCTTTCTGCTTAAAGAAAGGATGGGTTCATTTGAATTGTGGTGGACTACCTGGAGTCTTGTATACAGAACTTGCTGGCGTTGGTGAAGGGAGGAAGACACAGAGGGCCAGAAGGGAGTGGTGGGAAGTGTCAAAAAAGTTTACACTTAACTTTGCTGTAGGAGCATTTGCTCATCCATGATGAATGGGGGAAAAGCCATGCGAGTCTACAGCCTAGTCCACTGGTGAAAGGGGGTGCTGACCTCAAAGGTGGATGAAACCTGCTTAGGAAAGTGGGGCTCACCTTGCAGACTGAGATCTGAGGTTGTTGGTTTTCAGCGCCACATCATTTCCTGAGAGGAGCATTTGTGCTTCAGGAAAGAGGAACTCAGAGGTGAAAAATGCATGTGTATTTGAAGGCAGCTCTCCAGTCCTGTGTTTCTGCTAATTAAGTACTTTGGGAACAAAACATTATTCTTAAGATGCTTGCCTCTAAATGTCTTAGCGTGATCTTGATGTGTGTGCTTGGGATGCACGAGGGAGTAATATCAAGCAGGCTTCTTACAAGTGGCAGCTCGTTTGTGCTGAAGGTCCGTGTGTATTGCCAATGGGAAGGGGTCCCTAGGGCTTGTCTCTCTTCACAGCAACACTGGAGTGGAGGTCTTGGCCCACCTGGAGAGCTAAGCTCTCAGATCACCAGCACTGTTGCCATGATGAGGAACACATGCCATGTGTTCAAGGAGACTAAAGGCTGTGGCATGCCCATGCTTGGCACCTTGGCAGGCCTGGGTGACGGAGTGGGACCATAAACCCCACCAAACTCACATTCCCCTGCCACCTGTGTCTATGTCAGAACACTCTTGTTCTCAGATTCTCTTTGCTGCTTGAGAAATGGACTCTTTTTAAGGGAAAACAAAAAGCTCCCCTCCTCTCGGAAGCCCCAGATGTCCGGTTGTGCTTATTATGCCCTCCATCCTGTAAAGGCACACGGTTTTGCCTCTGATTGAATGGGTTTGCATGGGGGATACCCGCTGCTCAGCACATCATGCAGTTGGCTTACATGGCCACCCATGGACTCGATCTCGTTGTTAGGGCCTGGTGGAGTGGCCGTGGGTGAAAAAATGAGAACTTCCTGAGGTCTTCCTGGGGTAGGAGCACAGCTTTTCTTACAGAAAAGATAGGTGCCACAAACACATGTCCCGTGGTAAGAACTCAAGGGTTGGGCTGAGGCTCTATGTCAGGTGTTGGGCACAGCGGACCTCCTTGTTAGAGTGATTAGATGGGAGGCCTTAGGGCGGGCAGATACTTGTGAGGGTCGTTGCGGGACATAAAGTGGCCCTTGTGGGACTCTGTGCGTCTGTGTGTGTCGGCATCCATGCCTGGCCATGGCTCTGTTGGCTAGAAGCAGTCTTGAGACGTTAATAAAAGGATAATAGTTTAGGATTGGATTTGAGAAATGGCAGGATATACTACTGTTGTGGTGCCAAATGTATAACAAAAAATTTACCATTTTAAGCTCTTTTGAGTAAATAGCCCTGTGGTATTGAGTATATTTAGTGTCTCACAACCTTTACCACTCTTCACTTCCCAGCCTTTTCACCACCTCAGCCAGAAACTCGTTATGTACAATGTACTTTCTACCTATCATGCTTACAATGATTTCCCATATATCCCTCTTCCCCTTAGTCCTGGCACCTTTCATTTTCTTTCTGTCTCTGCGAAGTTTCCTCATGTAAACGGAAACACATATCTGTCCTTCTGTGTTTGGCTTGTTTCCTTTACTGTTTCAGGGTTCATCCGTGTTATATGGTGTATCGGTACATTTCTTTTCCAGGTAGACATGTTCCATTCTCTATATACTACTTATCCGTTGGATATATGGGTCATTTCCATCTTTTGACTATTGTGAGCAATGCTTTTGGGAGGATTAGCGTGATGCAATCATTTTTAGACTGAACTCAGAGAAGTTAGGCTGGAAATATGAAAAAAGAATCGTTTTGCCTTCTGAGCTCTCTCGCCGATGCTTTGGCAGGTACAAGTAGACTTTTGAGTAACCTGGTAGTTGTAATATCATCTCTTGTGCATCGCTTGCCCCACTGACCTTCCTTTGCTTTGATTTGTCACCTATGTTGACTAGGAACTGTTTAATGGAGTCTCTGAAGTCTCCATAAAGAATCTTCTCATCAGCTTTCTTTTTCCCTCTTAAATTATAATTACAGAGAATTCAGAAAAGACCTTTGAATTGGGAACTGTTGCTTTTTGGCCTGGGCTTGTAAGGGTTTAAAGCCGCTTAGAGCCGCTTCACAGCAAGAGGAACCAGGGAGAGCAGGGAACGAGAGAAAGTTTCACTCCTCTGGGCTAAGTCTCCAGCTGAAAAGGAAGAGGTTTGGGACTAACTGCCCTCCATAGTCCCTTCTGAGACCTCTGTACCCAGGCTTTCCTAGTGAACGTCCCAACCTTTAAAATACTATCATGCTGAACAACCTGCCTCCAAAGAAACTTAAGAAAACAAAACAAAACAAAAACTCCTCATGTTTAAAACAAACAAATAAACAACCACATTATATGACTTCAGAAATATTGAGAATAACAGAGTGTATTTTCTCAGTTTAAAAAGAAAAGTTTATTTCAATGCTGACAAAAACAAAGCAAAGCAACCAACCAACCCACAAAACCACTGTGTAGTCTGCTTACTAAAAACAGTTGTGAATGGTTTGGGGACTTTAGGACCTGAGTCTAAACCACAGCAGAGAGGAGGGACTGATTATAGCAGACAAAAGGGAGAGGGTCTCAGTCCAGACCCCACAGAAGTGAGAGGCAGAGGCCAGACCCCAGCATGGGAGAGGGACTCTGTCCAACGTCCAGCAGAAGTAAAGGCCTGTGTTGAATGCCCACCACAAAAGTATTCTCCCTATGAAGAGCACTCTGGCCTCAGCTTGGTCTGTCAGGCCATAGCTTTCCTCAGAGGAGAGTCTCAGGAAGCTTGCTGGCCCAGTCTTCACGAGAGCTGTGCTAACTGATAGGAAATTCCAAAGAAGGCCATTTTTCTATGCTGGCCCTACATAGCACACTATTCTCACCTCTAGCTTGATAGGTGTTGCCCGAAAGTCAACTTTTTCCCAAGCAAAAGTCTTACTCAGCTTAGGAAGATGTTCTCATCACCAAGGATTTCAAACAAAACAAAACAACCAACTGATGGACAAAGGTTGGGATTTGTGTAGCTCAGAAGTGCCCTTAAGTGTAAAACACGTTAGCAGGGCTGTGAGGAAGTGTGACTGAGATAAGAGGAGACGGCTCAACATATGTGAGAACTGAATGCCTGCCTGCTTTTATCCTTTTTTATTACTACAACTATTACCATCATTTATTACTGAAACTAGTCTGGCAAAACTAGGTATTATTTTAATTACCATGAATTTTTAAGTCATCTGTGCCAAAAAGACATACTGTATGAAGAGCTTCAACTTTAGAACAACGTGTGTTATAATTTCATAAAGCTTAATGTTAAAAACAATTTCTGTGGACATAGAGTATTTCATAGACTACAGCTAAGGAGTCAATTTTTTCAAAGAAAAATATGTAGGCAGTTAATGGCTTCTGAACATGGATATTTTTTTCTTTACTTTCCCCCCTTTTTCATGGCTTCAGAGGTCTACAAAACTACATTTAAAATGATATAATGTTTCATTTTATCTTGGAGAAAAGTTAGTCCTCCAAGGACATTTTCTGGGCCTTTTGGGCTTGGGCAGAAGTCTGTGTTCTTTGGTTCCCAGCATTCTGTTTGGTGGAGGTAAATGTGAAATGCTCCCGCTGCAAAGTGAGCTGTAACAGACAAAGGGTGTTCCTGAAACACGAACAGGTGGGAATGTGGGAGTAGTCTCCCCTTGGGCTGAGAGGTTAGGGCTGGAAAGGACCAGCTTAGAGGGGAAAATGGCAGCTGGCCTGGGGAAGATGACTTATTCTTCTGACCCAAGCCAGGGAAGCCAGAGACAAGCCATGGAGATTTATGGGGAACTATCTACAGCTTCTTTATCATTACACAGACAACTCCATTATCTATGCTAATAGGAGATGGGAAGGCCCATGTCTGTAGATTACACGGATGAACCTCATTTTCACTGTTGCACCTGCCCTCCGCCCCTTTGCTGGAAGCAGCAAGATTTGCTGATGTTGGTCTCTTATTGGCATCTCTGTTGCTCTGGGCTTGGATGGAAGGACAGGGGAGATGGGAGAGGCAGAGCAGAAGTGGTA